TATATATGTATATATATATATATATATATATATATATATATATGACTGGCTCAAATGGGTATGATGAAATTGGCAAGTGAATCTGAACATAGAATCCCTTTTATCAAACTTCTTTTCGATAGTAGATCCATGTAGAGACTCTTTCTAATAATATGGAGAGTTAGGAGACATGTACTTTTACGATGAGATAACAATAAATCAACCATGCAAATACTTAAAGCATAACTAAGTTTTATGAGCTACCATTAAATATACTATTGGACTAGCTTCTGCCGTAAAGAAGTTAATTAACTATATTACTTTATTTGAAAGGAGAATTTTCGGGCAACAATCAAAGTTTCATATCATTAGAACAAAAAAGACGGACATGAGTTTATGTATACATAATTCTTTTCATTGCTAAGAGACATTTTAAGAGATAACCAAAAGTAAAACTATAAGAGCTTAAGAATAATATCTTACTAATATATGGATATGTGTATGAAAATCGTTGTACCACAAAATGAAACATAAGGGTATTCATGTAAAAACCAATAAAAAGGAATGGTTATAGAATAAACATTATGGATGACTAGACATTATTGTTAACAAGTACAAGTTTGTGAAGCACATAAGCATAAAAGAGAATGATTATGATAACAATTGTGAATGACTAGACATTATTGTTAACAAGTAGAAGAATTGGTCTTGCCTCTTATTCCCAAGGGTCACATTTGATATCAAGTTTGTCTATGATCAAGTTACATCATTATAAATTACCCAAGATTAGTATTTTTTGTAGAATATAGTGGAGAAAAGAAAGTAATTAGAAGGTATTGAATAGTATCAATAAAAAATTCAACACTTTTTGAAATAATAAAATAGTAGCATAAGCCTTAAAGGAATGCAAATGAAGCAAGACATAAAGAACACCAAGTACTTTTATGTTGATTCATCTCAATCACTAAGACTATGTCCAATTCTTAATCAACCATTATAGGAGCCAAAATGTTCCAGTCAAGGGGGCGTCTAAGATTCTTCTTCTAGGTCAAGCCTCCCAAGCCAGAGCATTCAAGAGTAAGAGATGTGTCTCATTAGGTTTAGGGTTCAAGGTTTTTATAGCTACTTCTTGTAGACCTCATTATCCTATCAGTTTTGTGATTCTTCCTGGCCGTTTTTATGTTCCAAATATTTGATTATCATTAATGGGATTTTGTCCCTGATATGGTGCATGCTAGGCTAAAGTTCTGGTCTCTAAGTCCCCCAATAAAGCTATATTGGAATGCAACCGAGTTGATGCTCATGGGTGGTAACCAAAGCTCTCGTCCCTCGATCCTCCAGGTGTT